GGATGATTGTTGGTGCAATCAAACTGGTCTGCAGCCTCATCGGGTGGCGAGGAAGGAGGGAAAGAAAAACATCGACAGCAAGCTCCAGTCATACTGCAAAAGGTACATAAAAATTGGCTGACATTATCAGCTAAGCTTGGCTGGTGCTTCCAACAGTCAAATAGGCCAACACTTATGACAACAACAAGTACAACAAAATTACATTTGTATAGCGCTTTTCATATCGGGGGGATGTCCCAAGGGGTGGATAGTCAGCATTTCGGACCTGAGCTGGGGGTCGGGATTGGGGAGGGTGGAGGGGCGGGAAGGAGGATGATCGGAAGCACAGTCGAAGAGGAGGGTCTTGAGATGGGTCTTGAAGGAGGTAGAGGGGGCAAGGCGGAGGGACTGCAGGATGGAGTTCCAGAGGATAAGGGCAGAATGGCAGAAGACCCGCCCGCCAAGGGCGGTCGAGGTGGGAGCATGAAGCAGGCCGGAGCCCGCTGAGAGGAGGGAACAGGCAGGATGACAGGGGGTTTGGAGGTCACAGAGGTAGAGGGAAGTGAGGCCATGGAGGGCTTTGAAGGTGAGGACCACGATCTTGAACTGTATCCTCTGTATGATGGGAAGCCAGTGGACTCAGGAGAGGATGGGGGTGATTGGGTCACGGTGCCTGGTGCGGACACAGGCTGCAGAGTTCTGGATGATCTGCAGCCCATGAAGGGATGAGTTGGGGAGGCTCTTCCCAGCAAGGAGTTTGCAGAGTCGATGTAGAGAATGCATGTATGGAGGTTTCGGCGATCTGCGGTGTGAGACAGTGGCGGAGCAGAATGATGTTGCGGAGTTGAGAGTTAGGCAGAGCGGGTCATGGCACTGATGTGGTGTAAAAAGGGTTGTTGAGGGCTAAACAAGACGCCAAGGTTCCGGACTGTAAGGTGGAGTGTGCATCCATGGATGATGATGTTCTCAGTGCCTGACAGCATCTCAGATAACTGATGAACAGTTACTTGGAGCAATAGCATCCATGGAACCAATTGCCAGAAAGACTCACAGCCTTCATGGTAGTTGAAAATATTGATGGGGTGATGTTCGACATGCACATCAAAGTTGAACAGACAGCAAAATGTGTGAGTAGGATAGTAAGGATTTTTGTTGTGCTGTGATTGTGTAGAATTTGCTATATTAATTGTTGGTACAAATACAACCTATAACATCAAAAGTAAAATGCATCCTTCACAAAAGGTTGGGTATTCCCATTGTACCGATGCTCATTTTCCTAAGAAAATATAGGATAACAAGCGTCTACCAGTAATGTGGACAAATCGGGAGGGGTGGGGGGGGGAAGAGAGAGAACATCAATGTTATATTATCAAACTCAGAGGGATTATTATTATATGTGGATAAGTGTGAGGTGATACACTTAGGTAGGAAAAATGATAGGAGGCAATATAGACTTGGTAGCTCAATCTTAAGGGGGGTGAACGTACAGAGAGATCTGGGTATTCAAGTAAGCGAATCATTAAAGGTAGCGGGGCAGATAGATAAGGCAGTAACAAAGGCATTTGGTTTACTGAGCTTTATTAGAAGGGGCTTAGAGTATAAGAGTAGGGAAAACACTGGTTAGACCTCAGCTGGAGTACTGCATCCAGTTCTGGGCACCTTACTTCAGGAAGGACATTAAGGCACTGGAAAGGGTGCAGAGAAGATTCACGAGAATGATACCAGGAATGGGGAACCTTAGCTATGAGGACAGGCTGGAGAAGTTAGGACTTTTCCCATTAGAGCAGAGAAGGTTACGCGGGGACCTGATAGGGGTCTTCAAGATAATGAAAGGTTTCGACAGGCGAGATAAGGAAAAGCTGTTTCCACTGGTAGGTGTGTCTGTGACCCGTGGTCACAGTCTTAAGATATCTACCAAAAGAAGCAGAGGGGAGGTTAGAAGAAATTTTTTCACTCAGTGAGTTGTTCGAATTTGGAATGATCTGCCTGAAAGGGTAGTGAAGTCCGATTCGATAACAGCTTTTAAGAGAGAACTGGATAGGTATCTGGGGAAGACGGGTTTGCAGGATTATGGGGAGAAAGCTGGTGATTGGGGTTAGTGAAAGTGACTTGCTCTGTCAAAGAGCCGCACAGACTCGATGGGCCGAATGGCCTCCTTCTGTGCCGTAACATTCTATGAATCTATGAATATCTACTCTAAAGGCTGAGTCAGGCCGACCAGTACAATCACTTCCACTGTACCCAAGGGGTCTTAGTCCCCTCAGATTGTTCATGTTAACAATGGTAATATCCCCAAGAACATGGTTTTACAAAAGGGAAGTCATGCTTAACAAATCTTTTAAGAGTTTTTTGAGGATGTAACTAGCAGGTTAGATAGGGGGGAACCAGTAGATGTAGTATATTTAGATTTTCAGAAGGCATTCAACAAGGTGCCACATAAAAGGCTGCAACACAAGATTAGGACCCATGGAATTAAATAATTATATTAGCATGGATCGAAGAGTGGCTAATGGGAAGAAAACAGAGAGTAAGGATAAACAAGTCCTTCTCAGATTGGAAAGTTGTGACTAGTGGATTGCCACAAGGATCAGTGCTTGGGCCTCACCTATGTACAATCCATATCAATGATCTAGACGAGGACATTGAACTTAAAAAAATTATCTAAATTCACAGATGAGGTGGGAGAGTAAGTTCTGAGGATGACACAAAAAGATTGCAAAGGGATATAGATAGGCTAGGTGAGTGGGCAAGAAGGTGGCAGGTGGAATATAATGTGGGGAAGTGTGAAGTTATTCACTGAGGTCGTAAAAACAGAAAAGCAGATTATTTTCTAGAGGGGGAGAGACTAGATAGTGTTACTGTTCAGAGGGATTTGGGTGTCCTTGTACACATCACAAAACGTTAGGATGCAGGTACAGCAAGCAACTAGGAAGGCTAATGGCATGTTGGCATCTATTGCAGAAGGGTTAGAATACAAGAGTAGGGAAGTCTTGCTGCAACTGTATAGGGCCTTGGTGAGACCGCACCTAGAGTATTGTGTGCAGTTTTGGTCTCCTTATTTAAGAAAGGACATACTCGCCTTAGAGGGGGTGCAGCGTAGATTCACTAGGTTAGTTCCTGGGATGAGGGGGTTGACCTATGAGGATAGGTTGAGTAAATTAGGCCTATATTCTCTAGAATATAGAAGAATTAGGGGTGATCTTATATAAACATATAAGATTCTTGTGGGGCTTGACAGAGTGTGAGACTGTTTCCCCTGGTAGGAGAACCTATAACTAGAGTTGAGGAAACACCTCTTCACTCAGAGGGTAGTGAATTTGTGGAATTCTCTACCCCAGAAGGCTATAGATGCTCAATGCTTGAACATGTTCAAGACTGAGATTGATAGATTTCTGAAAAATAGAGGGATTAAGGGATATGGGGATAAGGCGGGCAGGTGGAGTTAGGTTAGAAGATCAGCCATGATCTTACTGAATGGAGGGGCAGGCTTGAGGGGCCGAATGGCCTACTCCTGCTCCTAATTCCCGTGTTCCAATGTAACAGGATTAATTTCCATATGTACTCAACATTACTCAACTCATTCTTCCTTTACTATCCTAAATTCCAGTACTGTTGCTTTTTTATCTTAAATAAACCATCAAGAGAGTCTACCGTCAACTCTTATACAGATCTCAAGAGCTGGAATACACATTAGGAATAAAATCCAGAATTTGGCCAAGTATTGCCATAGCTTTCAATCTTGTCATGAGGCCTTCATGAAATCTTTGCTGAAATCAATAAGCACAACATAGGTGGGCCTCTGTTAACCTTACAACTTTTGGCGATCTAGTCAGCCAGCTTTTGCCTACAAAATACCCAATCACTAAATATTACATTAAATCTTGTGAGGCACTTTGAGGTGTCTTCCTGAAGTGAAAGGCATTGAATAATAATAACCCTTGCATTTGATATAGCACGTGATCACATCGTTGAGACGTCTCAAAGCGCTTCACAGAGTATATTGTAAAGTGGATTGACTGTATTTTGTAGAAGAAACATGGCAGCCAATTGCACACAGCAGGGAAATGCAATGATATTTAATTGCATTATATGGAATCAACACTATATATAGCTCTCTTGCTGATGGCAGCCTTCTCTTCAGCTACAGCATTTACAATATGAATTAAGACAGCACAGGTGCCACCAAAGATGGTTGCAGCTGTTTGCCAAGACACATTTTCACCCCGCCTTCAGAGATAAACAGTGTACCTTAATGTCACTGGCTGTGATGGCCTGGGATGAATGCAATGACGCGCTGCAATGTGATTGTGCTTCTGTTAGCTAGCCAAATCTTGGCAAAAGATTAGGGAAAGCCCACTAGCGATTGTTTAAAAAAAGATAGCTGTAAGCTGGAAATTATAAAATAGCCATAAAATTGTATTATATGCTGCTACTATTCAACTCTCAATATAACTGGAGCATAATCCTCACACATATCAATATCACAATAATTTATCACTGAGAAAGCAGCTATTCGACTCATCATGCCTGCACTCTGAAAGAGCTATCCAATTTGTCTCATTCTCTTCATTTTAGATGTGGCCTTTTCCAGATGGGACAACATGTACATCAGAATTTATAAATGATATATACCATTCAGAAACCATCAGACACCACAGTTGGTCCATATCTAATTAAAGTACAACACCACAGACAGGAAAGAATTACCAGTGACTTTGAATCCCAATATTCCAACACACTGTTCTAGGAAGAGCTTCAGAGGAACAAGAAAGGTTGAATGTCATAGCCAATATCCTGGAATGAGGCTAAAACATCCACTAAAGAGTAGACATTACTATGAGTGATATGACCATAGCTATAAATACAATTATCAACCCCAAAGGTAAAGACTTCCTGTCTGACAACAACCTTGAATATTTCCATCATGGAAAATTCATAAGAGCCAAGATATAGGAAGGTGCTAATGGTAGAAAATAGAAATTTTCAGGATGAAACTGAGGTAAAAGGTAAGGTTGCAGTACCTGGCATCATAGGAGAGGTTTCCATACAACGCTGTCTATACCGTCTGAATGCCTACTTCGAAAAAAATCGTTGCAGATGAATACTACGTTCACGACCAATGAACATAATATTGGTATCATGACTGACTGGCCAGAACGCTTTGTCTTGTAGCTTCAACACTGGTTGAAATCAGTTATCTTTCTGAAACAACAGGAATAGAGCAAGCATTAACTAGTTATTTCAGAAAGATGCGATTTTCTTTCAATAGCTACATATATTTTAAAAACTCCGCAAAGGTTCATAACAATAAATTACATTTGTATAGCGCCTTTCACCTCGGGAGGATATTCCAAGGTGCTAGACAATCTAAGATCCACACCCGAGCTGTTGGTTGGGATCAGGAGTGGCGGGCAGGAAGGGTAGGGATAGGAGGGGAACCAGAGGAGTGGTCGAAAAGGAAGGTCTTGAGAAGAGGCCTTGAAGGAGGCGTGGGATAGGTGAGGCGAATGGACTGTGGATTGAGTTCCATAGGGTGTTGGCAGAATGGCTGAAGGCCAACCACCGATGGTGGGGTGGACCGGGTGGGGGACGTGGAGTGGAGGAAGCGGACAGGTCAGCCAATGAGAACCATAAGATAGTAATAGAGAATTACAGTAGACTCAATACAGTGGTATGTATTTAATAACACATGTAGGAATATGGTACTAGTAGTAATAGTAATAATCGTTAGTTTAATATAGCACTTTCACATCAAGAGGATGCCTCGAGCTGCTTCCCAGGATATATTGTAAGGTGTAGGAACCGTATATGCAAACACAGCAGCCAAATTTGCAGACAGCAATATCCCAATGTCCCAGAGGCGAGAGTACTACCACAAAATTTTCACCCGCAAAATACAGTCGCTATACTTTACAGTATATTCCATGAAGCGCTTTGAGACATCTAGAAGATGTGATAAGGCATTATATCAAATGCAAGGATTATTATTATTATTACCAACTGAGCCAGGCTGTCACCTGAATGTACAGAACTGGAAGAGGCCAGTGTGGTCCATTTCAATATTAAGAAAAAAATAAAAACTGATCTTAACTATTCTTCCGTTCATCTTTCAACAGACTCATCATTTGCAGAGGATTATTTCTGAACCTACCGTCTTATTCTAAAATGTATTCACATGCCACAAATTCATCAACTCTTATTGCATTTCTGATTATTAAACTTTCACACCAACAAGGAAAAGGCAATTCAATTTCTCTGTCTATATTATGTCAATTTTTTAAAAAAGAACCAAAAATCTGGAATCTCAATGTGAATTCACTAATTTAAGAATCTTTTTACATCTGTCTTCAGTCTTAATGTTGACAAAACGGAAGCCATCCTATTTCAAATCCAACTACCCCCTTAATTAATCTGCTCTCCAGCTTTCCCAGCTCCACTATCCTCAAGCTCCATGTTAGGATTGCTGCTTTCCCCTCTCCCTCCTCCATATATATAAATGTCTGGATTCAGCTATAAGGAGCACAATTTCTACCATTACAGATGACACAAAACAGAGGAAGCAGCTAAACAATGCAATAACTGTAAGTAGTTTCAACAACAACAATTTACATTTATATAATGTATTTCACAGCAGGAGGACATTTCAAAGTGCTTAGACTGCTGGCTGGACACCCGAGCTGGGGGTGGGAACATTTAAATAGTGAATTTCACATCGGCAGGTCGTCTAAAGGCACTTCACAAAGCTGACTGGGAACTGCGGGGGGAGTGAGCAGCAAATCAATTGAAAATGCAGTTAAAATGGTAGGTCTCAAAACAAGTTTTAAAGTGAGAGGAGGCAAGGCGGAAGGACTCTGAGATTGAGCTCCAGAGAACGGGGAGGCAGAGGGGCTGAAAACTCACTCTCCAATGGGAAGACAGATAATAATATAATAATAATCATCTTTGTATTTGATATGAGAGGACACACTAAAAGACTTCACCAGATATAATGTAAGGTGGACTGTATTTTGCAGGCAAACAGCAACCAATCTGTGCAGAGCAACGTCTCACAAACACAATAAAGTGAATAACCAATTTTATTTGGGGAATTGCTGGCCAAAATACAGGAAGAAACGCCCCAAAGGTTTCAAATGATCTTTAGCATCAGCCTGAAAAGGCAGAACGGGCAAGATACATAAAGTAGACGGTGTTTGCTGAGCGGAGGGTGTGCCTGGCAGCAGGATTGCAGGAGGTTCATAAAAGATACTTGCTGTGTGTAAATTGGTTGCCAATTTAATCTATAAAATACCCAGTCACTACACTTTACAGTATATCCTGTGAAGCACTTTGACATGTCCTCCTGACATTAAAGAAGTTATATATCACAAAATCATACAGCACAGGAGGAGGCCATTCGGCCCATCGTGTCTGTGCCGGCTCTTTGAAAATCAATCCCACTCCCCCGCTCTCACCCCACAGCCCTGCAAAACTTGTCCTCCCCAAATAATTGTCTACTTCTCTCTTAAAAGTTGTTATTGAATCAGCTTCCACCACCCTTTCAGGCAATGCATTCTAGATCCGAACAACTCGCTGTGTGAAAATATTTCTCCTCTGTTTCTTTTAACAACTATTTTAAATCGGTGTCCTCGGGTTACCAACCCCCCCGCCAGTGGAGTTTTTGTATCAAATACAAAGATTATCATTAGGGTGGGGCGAGGCTGTGGAGGAATTTGGACAAGAGGACAAGTATTTAGAATTTGATCCAGTGGGGAATGGGGTGAAGTCAAGTCAGGAAGGGGTGAAGGGCTCAGTTTGCGGTGCGAGAGAACACAAGGATCAGAATTCTACATGGTTTGCAGCTTATGTCCTAAGCTGGAGTCAAGCAAGCAGGATGTTGGAATTGAGCCTAAACGTGATGAAACATGTGAATGAGGGTCTCAGCAAACAGAAACTTCATCAGGAAAAGAGGTAGTGGCGGAGGCGAATGATATTGGGGAGGTGAGAGACAGTCAAATGAGTGAGAGCCCAGATGTTAGGTTTGACAGTTGGCGGAACAAAATACACAGGGACCACACCAACTCCATAAGGTGGAGTGAACAACCGTGCAGTTGAGCATTCATCTGTGCAGTTGAGTACAATCAGCAACAGAGGTGAGAAGACACTGATGGGAGCAGAGCCTTGGTCTTGTTGCCATTAACTAAACCATATCAACAACTTAAATTTATAAAGTGCCCTTCACGCAGGGTAGCATTTCAGAGCGCTTAACAGTGGTGGAGTCCACTCCAAGCCGAGAAGAGGAAAGAGGTGACAGTAAACATGGTCAAAGAGGAAGCTCTTCGGGCATTGTCTGAAAATAGGAAGGAGAGGGAAGGTGGAGGGATTGAATGAGACAGTTCCAAAGTTTCACAGCGTAGTGGCTAAAGCACAACCGCTGACGGTGCAACGGAGGGGACAAAGAACAAACAGAGTGGAGTGGGGAGTAAGCAAGTCAAGGAGGTGCCGGGGGCATGAAAGAATTTGGAGACATTTGAGGATCACAGAGAGAAAGGGCTTAATTTATGACTTTGATAAGCACTGTCTCTGCACTGTGAGGAAAACGGAAACAAACCGGAGGGGCTCGAGAGGAAGAGGTGTGAGTGAAGTTGATTTGCAACAACCCATTAGTTTAAAATATTAGAGGGATCTAGGATTGTTTTTTTTTGCGAAACAGTAATGAAAGAGTTTTGAGGGGAAGTGGGATGGAGCCTGAGGAGAGGAACTGGTTGACTGAAGGACAGCTCATGCAGGTCAATGTCCAATAAGTCAGAACAGCAATGGTTCTGGAATCGAGGGTAGAGCCAACAACAACAACAAGATTCCATTTATAGAGCGCCTTTCACGTCGGGAGGACGTCCCAAAGCGTTGGACCAGTTGGGTCAGGACCCGAGCATTGGGGAAATGGTCAGGGGGAGGGAGGGAGCGAGGAGGGGGGAAATGGTCAAGGAATTGGGCATCACCCAAGTACAAGCAGGAGTAGAACTCGTTTTTGGGTGGCATCACCAAGGGGAAGAATAGAGATGGTGAAAAAGAGGACTGAGAAAAGGGCCCCGAGGAATGTCACAGGTGACCGCAGGGGAAGAAGAGACAAAGTGAAGAAATTTTATTTTAATTTATTTTCTAGCATTTTGAAATGTGCTTCCCCTCACTTCAGAATTCCCCCACCAAACCAATTAGGCTTGATTAGTTTGTTTCCATCAATAAATCTTTATTTAAAGCTGCCTTGGATATTTCGCAACCCCAGTAATGCTTTATATATTGAGGCAGAGCTGAATTCTGAATACTGCAAGGGATGTATGCAATGGTCATAGAATTTCCTAAACACTGTATTCATAGGCTTGACTGGCAATTCTCTCTGGAATGTGTACAGGGGCCAGGAGTTCAAATCCACATCTGCTAATTGGCTATTTTAAAATATGTAATTTAGTATGTCAATCATATTTTTACATTTTTTCTTTCGTGAAGGGTGCTGTACAAATTCAATTCGTTGTTATATTTAACTTGTGCAACAGAGGTGGGATCAACTTGCCTCACAAATAGTCCTTAGCTTTCTTATTGGTGGCAACAATCTGTAAAGTCAAATCCAGCACTGACCAACTTGTATCAGCAGCTGGACAGCCCAGCTGTGCTTCGTCTGGCCCTATTCTGTTCAATTTAAAGAATTATAATTGGGCAAGTTCCCTTACTCCACACAGAGCCTAATAATAATCCCTCAAAAAAAAACAATAATTAAATTGGTCATTTTCAATCTACGACTGTTTGTGGGACATTGCTGTGCGCAATTGGCTGCCGCGTTTGCCCACAAATATAGTCAATTCACTTTACAGTGTGTTCTGTGAAGCGCTTTGGGACGTCCTCCCGACGTGAAAAGCGCTATATCAAATGCAAGGATTATTATTATTATTATACACAGAAGAAAATTGTGTGGTCCACCTGAAATCCATGTGCCATAAAACAACAGGAAGTGAGAGATTTGCAACCCTGCAATCAGAACTCAGGTCGCAAAGAACAAACAAGGAGTCAGCAACGTGTGAATGCAAACCATTACTTAAAATCGAATCTCGATTTTGTTTTAAAAAAACATAAAAATTTAAGGAACAGCGCTGGGACGCACATTTTGGCTTTTCGTTAAACAATAACGTAGTCCTCTCCGTACATTTGAGAGCATTATTTTATGATGAACTGGGGCCGTGCGGGTTGCCATTGCCTCGCTCGCCCCGCGTTTGAACGCTCACTCAAATAAATCGATGCAATACCGAAAAGTTTCATTATCCTCCTCTACGGTGTTTATTCGGGACGCAAAATCTATACCCATTATTATTATCATCATCATCATCATCATCATCATCACCGCAGGCAAAAAAAATGTTTAAAAAATGCTGTTGCAGTCCCCGCTCTCCACTGGTGAAGAAACCCCCCACACACACACACACACAGAGTGGTGGTCACTATCCCGGGAGGCGGCGGGTGGTTGGGCTGTAGGTGAGTGAGTGAGTGAGTGAGTGGAGACCCGCACTCTCGGCGCTTCTTCGCAACGAGTCCCCGCATCACATGATGTCTGCGGGTGTCCACGTGCAAAAGAGCGCGCGCGCGCGAAGGCCGAGCACGTGCACCGCAGGAGCCTGGGTGTGTGCGCTCGCGCGCGCGGGCACGCGGACCAGCGCACACACACACACGCGCGCGCGCGCGCAGTCGGCGTGCCGAGCTCTGCAACGGCGACCGAAAACACACAGGGCGGACGGGCGTGCAAAGCGCGCGCGCGTCGGCGTCGGCGAGTGTGCAAGCGGGGGGGGGGGGGGGGGCGCGCGAGAGAGAGAGAGAGAGATGGGGGGGTTGGGGGGGGGGGTCGCGCGCGCGTGCAAATTCACGAGCGCGAGAGGCGCGCGTGTGCAAACAGAAAATGAGGTGGAAACGTGTTCGCCCCCAAACACACACAGACACACACAGCACAGGCCGTCCCGGGGGGGAGGGGGAGGGGGAGGGAGTGTGTGGGAGAGAAAGAGGTTTGAGGGTATTTTTTTTTGCAGACAGCGGCCGCGGCCCTTTTCTTTTTGCAGCTTCTCCCCCCCCCCCCCCTTCTCCCGCCCCTCCTCAAGGGGGATCTGAGCTCAGGGCAGACAGACAGACCGGGGGGGGGGGGAGGGGGAGAGAGAGAGGAGTGCAGGCCGCTAGGCCGCGGCCCAGGCCTCTCTCACACACACACACACTGCAGGCCCGACCTACACCAGAGCCGCTTCCTTCACAACCCCCCACACGCCCTCTTTCTCTCTCTCTCTCTTTCTCTCGATGATTTCACCCCTTTCTTCTCTCTCTCTCTCTCTCTCTCTCACATTCCCTTCTTCCCGGGAGAGAGGCTCAACTGTAACCCGAGGCTCCTGCCTCTCCCTCTCTATATATATATATAAAACGCACGTGCGTGTATTATATATATATATAGGCTGTTTATATGTGCCGGAGGCCCCTCTCTGTGCTCACTCACCCTGTGCTGTGCTGCGGGCGGTCAGCGGCCATTGGCTTTTCTCTGTCTCTGTTTCTCCGTCGCTGTGGTGGCCGGGGCGAGTGCGCGCGCAGCCGCGAGCCGCGGCCGTTAGCCCGCCCGTCACGTGAGCCGGAGCGCTCGCTGGCCACCAGCCCACCTGCCAATCACACACAGACTCCACCCACCCACCCCTCAGCTGCACCCATCTGCAAATCACACACAGACTCCACCCACCCCCTCAGCCGCGCCCACCTGCCAATCACACACAGACTCCACCCACCCACCCCCTCAGCCGCGCCCACCTGCCAATCACACACAGACTCCACCCACCCACCCCCTCAGCCGCGCCCACCTGCCAATCACACACAGACTCCACCCACCCACCCCCTCAGCCGCGCCCACCTGCCAATCACACACAGACTCCACCCACCCACCCCCTCAGCCGCGCCCACCTGCCAATCACACACAGACTCCACCCACCCACCCCCTCAGCCGCGCCCACCTGCCAATCACACACAGACTCCACCCACCCCCCCTCAGCTGCACCCACCTGCCAATCACACACAGACTCCACCCACCCACCCCTCAGCTGCGCCCACCTGCCAATCACACACAGACTCCACCCACCCCCATCAGCTCCACCCACCTGCCAATCACACACAGACTCCACCCCCCCCCTCAGCCGCGCCCATCTGCCAATCACACACAGACTCCACCCACCCCCCCTCAGCTGCACCCACCTGCCAATCACACACAGACTCCACCCACCCCCATCAGCTCCACCCACCTGCCAATCACACACAGACTCCCCCCCCCTCAGCTGCACCCATCTGCCAATCACACACAGACTCCACCCCCCCTCAGCCACGCCCATCTGCCAATCACACACAGACCCCACGCCTCATCCGAGCACACCTGTCAATCACACACAGACTCCACCCCCCCTGAGACTGGTTACTGCAGACAACAACAACAACAACAACACTACACTTGTGAAGTGCCTTTCACGTCGGGAGGACATCCCACGGCGCTGGACAGACAGTGCTTCTGACCCGGACTGGGGGTGGGGGAGAGCGGGGGGTTGGGGGAGGGCGATCGAAGGCACAGTCGCAGAGCAGGGTCTTGAGATGGGTCTTGAAGAAGGCGAGGGAGGGGGTAGCAGAGGGGGGGGTGAGGGAGGCCATGGAGGGCTTTGAAGGTGAGGAACAGAATCTTGAACTGTGTCCTCTGTGTGGTGGGAAGCCAGTGGTCGGTTTCATACGGGTTACAGTGATGATGACAGAGGAGGGGGAGACAGGTTCGAAGGTGTGGAGGGGCAGACGGGGAGGGTGTAGTAGATGGAAGGGCAGAGGCAGCTGAGCAGATCCCCTCGATTTTGCATTCGAGGAAGTCCAGCATCGCCTCGCAGTTGGCATTTGAGGTGCGGATGGACAAGGCGTGAGAGGGTGGGTGGAGGAACCAGTTTGTGATGGAGAAGAGGAGCCTGGGGTTGTCCTTAGCCTCCAAGATTGTCTTGGAGTAGAACGACGATTTAGCAGAAACGAGGGTGGAGCAGTAGGATTATTTGACATGGTCCAGCCAAATCTGCCGATGGACAGTTAGGTTTGATTTAAGCCAGGTGCGCTCAGCAGAACGCACCTGGGCTGTAAGGGAGCGGAGGTGGCTGGTGTACCATGCTGACTTACGTGAATCAGAGACGGTTTGGGAAAAGAGGGGAGTAAGGGAATCGAGAGTGGAGGAGAGGGAGCTGTGGTGAAGGATAACCAAGGAGGATAGGTCATTGCGGGAAGACGCCAGAGGGGAAAGAGTTCAGATGACTCCAAGGCAGCAGAGAGGAAGGGGAGGGAGATTTTTTCCAGGGACAGTAGGAGATGGAGGTGGATTGGGGCAGAAGGAAACGAGGGTGGAAATGTCAGAGATGAAGGTGGGGGAGCGTTTGGGGGGACGATAGATGAGGAGAATTTTGAGGGAAAGTTTGGAGTGGTGATAAATGGTAAAGTGCTCAAAGGAGGGGAAGGTTCCAGAGGAGAAAGGGGATAGGCCGAGCGGGGATCAGGAGATGAGAGCCACACCGTCACCACGGCGGTTAGGTCATGGGGTGTGATGGAAGGCGTAGCGGGGTGGTGTGGCCTCAGTCAGGGTAGGTGTCACCTAGAGTGATCCAGGTTTCAGTGAGGGCGAGAATGTTGATGTGTATGAGGGTCTCGGCGGCCTGCGGTATGAGACAGTGGCGGAGCCAGGCAATGTTGCAGAAGTGGGGGAAGGCAGAGCGGCACATTGCACAGATGTGGGGTAGAAAGGATAGTTGAGGGTCAAACAAGACATCAAGCATACAACATACCCTAAGCTTGTTTTATTTGTAAGGTGGAGCATCAATTGTACAGAAAGGTATATTTATCAATCCGGAGAACAGAAGAGGTAGTTTCAGGAGTTTCTCCTTCTTTAACACACTCCAGGGCATTGCTAATGACAATACTTGGCTCATTGGTAGGGCTTGGAAGGGCAGACCAGTCACTGGGGGCAGGTAGTCATCCTTCTCAGCTCCTGTTAATCCGGCAAGCTAAAGCCCTAACGGTAGGATGGTCCTTGATGGATAAGCAGCAGGAAAGCTTGCCAGACAATGCTTTCAATGGCAAGCTATGTGGTCTTAGACTCTGGGGTTCCCAAGCTGGGCTCTTGCCATCCTGTGCCGAATACTTTCCGGAATTAGGTAAACAGGATGTGTCCCTCCAGGGAGAGAGTGCACATTCCATTCCAACGATCTGTCTCTGGGATTTCCCTGTGTACATGGGATGCAGGGAATTCTCAGCTTGGTTTGGATTCTCTGAAGCACGGTGATGGGTTTCCCTTGTGTCAGGCACCCGGCTGACCAAAATAAAAATGGTACCTTCTTGTCTGCTCCTGTCTTTTCCAGGTCTGTTCTGAAAACCAGCAGCTGCACTTGTTAGATTTATGTCTAACTTGTTTACTTAGCCTTTCCTTCAACTCTAACTATAAGACCATCTGGATTCTCTCACAGATGCCGTCTTATTTTTACAACATCACCTAACAAAGACCAACTCGCCTGAACATTCCTTCTCTAGATGACTGCACTAGGGAAAAAAGAACAAAGATAAGGAAACTTAGCTTTCTCTCAATCATGACTTCAAAGCCACCAAGTTATCCAGAGAGACACCTCTTCATTGTTTTACTTCTCACGTAATAATAATAATAATCCTTGCATTTGGTATAGCATCTTATCATATTGTTAAGATGTCTCAAAGCGCTTCATAGAATGTACTGCAAAGTTAATTGACTGAGTATTTTATGGGCGAAAAGCAACAGCTAATTGTGCACAGCATTGTTCCATAAAGAGTTGTGGAGCGAGTGACCAAATTTTTTTTAAAAAAGATTATTACTCCTGGAAAGCAATCCATTACCATTGGAAACTACAACCGGGTTCTTACTTACTGTTAGGTTAACAGAGACGTGCGGAGTAAGGAAACTTGCATAAGATTTTGTCCTGCCCAGGAATCAAACCGGAGTCCTCTCGCTTGCGAGAAGAGTGCCTAAACCGATATGCTACAGGACATAAGACAAAGACCATCTGGTTACACATCCTTTTTCCTCATTAGCGTACTAAACCAAGCAAGGAAAGGATAACATGCATCAATCAGGTCTAACCCAAAGTATTAGTCAGGTCGAACAAAACTATCAACACAATCTCCCTTAAAGGCACAGCATTAACATTAACTTAACTTTTCCATCAGGGGCAAATTGCACAGTAGTACAAAAGCACAGCCATAATACATCAGAAACAACTTATGTCAATCACCAATTTATGCTAAGACAACTCATCCATAATGCTTCACCCCTTTGGTAGCCCCTCACATTGACAGTCCAAAGTCAGTTACAGTACATAATAATACAGTAATCCTGTCATTTGATGTAGCACTTCATCATGTCAAGATTTGCCATAAATTGTAGTGACTATATATCTAGAGACAAATGCGGCAGCCAGGTTGCACACAGCAATGATCCACAAACATCCATGAAATGAATGATCAATTCAACATGGGAGATTCTTGGCCAGAACACTGGGAGAAACTCTCGTTTTTTGATTGAGTGCTATAGGATCTTTGACGTGCACCTGAACAGGCAGACCGAACCTCTGTTTAGCCTTTAATCCAAAGCCTTTCTTCCAATAATGGAGCACTTCCCAAACACTGCATTAGTGTCAGCCTAGACTGTAAGTTCAAAGTCTTGACTTGGGACTAAAATACAAGAGTGGAGCCAACTGAGCCAGGTTGACACTGTACAATGCAACAACAACAATAAAATTGCACTTATGTGGAGCTTTTCATGTCAGGAGGATGTCCCAAGGGGCTGGACAATGAGGGCTTTGCACCAGCGCTGCGGGTTGGGATCAGAGAGGGCTGGAGAGCAAAGAGAGTGGAGGAGGGAAGATGCCTGAAGGCACGGTCGAAAAGGAAGATCTTGAGTTGGGCCATGAAGGAAAAAATGCAAACCATGTTTTTATACGTATATTAGCAAGAGTGGACAATCTGGAACGGTTACACCCTGAGACTAAGCCTTACTGTGCAATGTGGGTGTGTACTTGTCTGAACATTTGAGAGCATAGTCTAGCACATTTAAGGCATGCAATGCCGCCCTGTTGCAAGGCAGAGGTCAGACAGTAATGCTTATTGCTTATTGCACAGTCCTGTTGCCAAACAACAATAACAAATTGCACTTATATTGTGCCTTTCATATAGGAAAGTGTCTCAACACTACATAAATCAAGGACTTTAAGACATTTCATAAGCACCATGTCCAATGCAAACATTATTTTTTTTATTCCTGAATAATGGTAGGGAGCTTAGGCAATCCAGTGTGGTTACTGCCAACAATCCTTTCCTACTACAAAATGGAGGTGGGTACATATACAAGTTGACTGTCCAATTTGCCTACAAATGCAGAGTCACTGCTGCTTATGAAGCGCTTTGAGGCACTTCAATGTTAAAAGCAAATACAAGAGTTGCTATACAAATGTAATGTTTTTGTTGCTGCTGTTGTTGTTGTTGTTAT